TGTGCATGCCCTTAAACGCAATTAATATCCTGTTCTTGATAGAGATGATAACGAGTGTCCTGGAAGAAGTAAGTTACATCCCATTTTTCATGCCACCCAGTTGTGAGCACACCATGTGGTATGGCTCTTCAGATATCCGATGCCTCCATGTGTCACATATTTTCAGAGTAGGATATTTTTCAAAGAGGCAGACGCAGAAGTAAAGTATTTCGTTGTAAACGTTTTGAACAAATGTGTGATGATCAATAAAGAAAAAAAAAAAGAAATGCCCCGGGTGAGGATCGAACTCACGACCTTCAGATTGCTCTGACATTGGACGTATGACTGATTATGAGACTGACGCGCTACCTACTGCGCTACCGAGGCCTGGTGTGTATGGCGGGGATAGGGATTTATATTTTTTTAAACTCACCAGTATGCGTCAACAAACGGGTCCATGCTGGGAACTTTGTTTTTTATGTTCCATATGTTGGACTCACCTAGGTTGTGATAGAACCCTAATGCAAGCTATAATGTGCGTGCCCTTAAATGCAATTAATATCCTGTTCTTGATAGAGATGATAACGAGTGTCCTGGAAGAAGTAAGTTACATCCCATTTTTCATGCCACCCAGTTGTGAGCACACCATGTGGTATGGCTCTTCAGATATCCGATGCCTCCATGTGTCACATATTTCAAGAGTAGGATATTTTTCAAAGAGGCCGACACAGGGGTAAAGTATTTCGTTGTAAACGTTTTGAACAAATGTGTGATGATCAATAAAAAAAAAAAAAAGAAATGCCCCGGGTGAGGATCGAACTCACGACCTTCAGATTGCTCTGACATTGGACGTATGACTGATTATGAGACTGACGCGCTACCTACTGCGCTACCGAGGCCTGGTGTGGACAGCGGGGATCGTGCTTTATATTTTTTAGAACTCACCAGTATGCGTCAACAAACGGGTCCATGGTCGAAACTGTGCTTTTTTAACTGCCATATGTTGGACTCGCCTAGGTCGTGGTAGAACCCTAATGCAAGCTATAATGTGCATCCCCGTAAACGCAATTAATATCCTGTTCTTGATAGAGATGATAACGAGTGTCCTGGAAGAAGTAAGTTACATCCCATTTTTTATACCACCCAGTTGTGAGCACACCATGTGGTATGCCTCTTCAGATATCCGATGCCAGCATGTGTCACATATTTTCAGAGTAGGATATTTTTCAAAGAGGCAGACGCAGAAGTAAAGTATTTCGTTGTAAACGTTTTGAACAAATGTGTGATGATCAATAAAGAAAAAAAAAAGAAATGCCCCGGGTGAGGATCGAACTCACGACCTTCAGATTGCTCTGACATTGGACGTATGACTGATTATGAGACTGACGCGCTACCTACTGCGCTACCGAGGCCTGGTGTGTATGGCGGGGATAGGGATTTATATTTTGTGAACTCACCAGTATGCGTCAACAAACGGGTCCATGCTGGGAACTTTGTTTTTTATGTGCCATATGTTGGACTCGCCTAGGTTGTGATAGAAACCTAATGCAAGCTATAATGTGCGTGCCCTTAAACGCAATTAATATCCTGTTCTTGATAGAGATGATAACGAGTGTCCTGGAAGAAGTAAGTTACATCCCATTTTTCATGCCACCCAGTTGTGAGCACACCATGTGGTATGGCTCTTCATATATCCGAGGCCTGCATGTGTCAAATATTTCCAGAGTAGGATATTTTTCAAAGACGCAGAAGTAAAGTATTTCGTTGTAAACGTTTTGAACAAATGTGTGATGATAAATGAATAAAAAAAAGATATGTCCCGGGTGAGGATCGAACTCACGACCTTCAGATTGCTCTGACATTGGACGTATGACTGATTATGAGACTGACGCGCTACCTACTGCGCTACCGAGGCCTGGTGTGGACGGCGGGGATCGTGCTTTATATTTTTTAGAACTCACCAGTATGCGTCCACAAACGGGTCCATGGTCGAAACTGTGCTTTTTTAACTGCCATATGTTGGACTCGCCTAGGTCGTGGTAGAACCCTAATGCAAGCTATAATGTGCATGCCCGTAAACGCAATTAATATCCTGTTCTTGATAGAGATGATAACGAGTGTCCTGGAAGAAGTAAGTTACATCCCATTTTTCATGCCACCCAGTTGTGAGCACACCATGTGGTATGGCTCTTCAGATATCCGATACCTGCCTGTGTCACATATTTTCAGAGTAGGATATTTTTCAAAGAGGCCGACGCAGAAGTAAAGTATTTCGTTGTAAACGTTTTGAACAAATGTGTGATGATCAATAAAGAAAAAAAAAAAGAAATGCCCCGGGTGAGGATCGAACTCACGACCTTCAGATTGCTCTGACATTGGACGTATGACTGATTATGAGACTGACGCGCTACCTACTGCGCTACCGAGGCCTGGTGTGGACGGCGGGGATAGGGATTTATATTTTGTGAACTCACCAGTATGCGTCAACAAACGGGTCCATGATGGAAACTGTGCTCTTTCAAGTGCCATATGTTGGACTCGCCTAGGTTGTGATAGAAACCTAATGCAAGCTATAATGTGCGTGCCCTTAAACGCAATTAATATCCTGTTCTTGATAGAGATGATAACGAGTGTCCTGGAAGAAGTAAGTTACATCCCATTTTTCATGCCACCCAGTTGTGAGCACACCATGTGGTATGGCTCTTCAGATATCCGATGCCAGCATGTGTCACATATTTTCAGAGTAGGATATTTTTCAAAGAGGCTGACGCAGAAGTAAAGTATTTCGTTGTAAACGTTTTGAACAAATGTGTGATGATAAATGAAGAAAAAAAAGAAATGCCCCGGGTGAGGATCGAACTCACGACCTTCAGATTGCTCTGACATTGGACGTATGACTGATTATGAGACTGACGCGCTACCTACTGCGCTACCGAGGCCTGATGCAGGGATAGGGATTTATATTTTTTAAAACTCACCAGTATGCGTCAACAAACGGGTCCATGATGGAAACATGTTTTTTATGTGCCATATGTTGGACTCGCCTAGGTTGTGATAAAACCCTAATGCAAGCTATAATGTGCGTGCCCTTAAACGCAATTAATATCCTGTTCTTGATAGAGATGATAACGAGTGTCCTGGAAGAAGTAAGTTACATCCCATTTTGTATGCCACCCAGTTGTGAGCACACCATGTGGTATGGCTCTTCAGATATCCGATGCCTTCATTTGTCACATATTTCCAGAGTAGGATATTTTTCAAAGAGGCCTACACAGAGGTTAAGTATTTTGTTGTAAACGTTTTGAACAAATGTGTGATGATCAATAAAGAAAAAAAAAGAAATGCCCCGGGTGAGGATCGAACTCACGACCTTCAGATTGCTCTGACATTGGACGTATGACTGATTATGAAACTGACGCGCTACCTACTGCGCTACCGAGGCCTGATGCGGGGATAGGGATTGATATTTTTTAAAACTCACCAGTATGCGTCAACAAACGGGTCCATGGTCGAAACTGTGCTTTTTTAACTGCCATATGTTGGACTCGCCTAGGTCGTGGTAGAACCCTAATGCAAGCTATAATGTGCATGCCCTTAAACGCAATTAATATCCTGTTCTTGATAGAGATGATAACGAGTGTCCTGGAAGAAGTAAGTTACATCCCATTTTTCATGCCACCCAGTTGTGAGCACACCATGTGGTATGGCTCTTCAGATATCCGATGCCAGCAAGTTTCACATATTTCCAGAGTAGGATTTTTTTCAAAGAGGCAGACGCAGAAGTAAAGTATTTCGTTGTAAACGTTTTGAACAAATGTGTGATGATAAATGAAGAAAAAAAAGAAATGCCCCGGGTGAGGATCGAACTCACGACCTTCAGATTGCTCTGACATTGGACGTATGACTGATTATGAGACTGACGCGCTACCTACTGCGCTACCGAGGCCTGGTGTGGACGGCGGGGATAGGGATTTATATTTTGTGAACTCACCAGTATGCGTCAACAAACGGGTCAATGCTGGAAACTGTGCTCTTTCAAGTGTCATATGTTGGACTCGCCTAGGTCGTGGTAGAACCCTAATGCAAGCTATAATGTTCGTGCCCGTAAACGCAATTAATATCCTGTTCTTGATAGAGATGATAACGAGTGTCCTGGTAGAAGTAAGTTACATCCCATTTTCATGCCACCCAGTTGTGAGCACACCATGTGGTATGGCTCTTCATATATCCGATGCCTGCATATGTCACATATTTCCAGAGTAGGATATTTTTCAAAGAGGCCGACGCAGAGGTAAAGTATTTCGTTATAAAAGCTTTGAACAAATGTGTGATGATAGATGAAGAAAAAAAAAGAAATGCCCTGGGGGAGAATCGAACTCACGACCTTCAGATTGCTCTGACATTGGACTTATAACTGATTATGAGACTGACGCGCTACCTACTGCGCAATCACGGTACGTTTCTATTATAATTAATCTCCGGTCTAATGCCTTTACACAAAAGTCTACGTTCAATGGTGTCAGACGAAGTAACAGTTTCTCCTGCGTTCAACACTACTCTAATACCAACACCTGCTTGTGGCATTTAGAGATTGTCGTATGGATAAAGACAGGATTGACTTATACATTTCAACTTCTTGTATTCTGTATCCATAATTAGCCAAGTCTGTCTTCACTAATCCTGGAAGGTAGGCGGTCGGGTAGTGGTAAAAGCGTTCACTCGTCACGCCGAAGACACGGGTTCGATTCCCGACATGGGTACAATGTGTGAAGCCCATTTCGTGTGTCCTCCGTCGTGATATTGCGGCACTATTGCTAAAAGCGGCGTTAAACCATACACACTCACTCACTGATACTGGGCGGTGAATAGAACAAACTTCACAAATTCTTGGGCGACATCGTTTTGACGGTCCAATTTGGATAGATCAATATGCGTGTTTTTAATCTACGCACAGGCACACAAACTGTCCATCAAAGAAATGTGTTGAGTTACGAATGTATTATATATTCGGAAATGCATTTATTTTGACCATGACATACACTCGGTAGGGCAAATCAACTTTGTGTCGCATCTTTCTGATATACACTGGATAGGACACATCAACTTGGCACCACATCACACAGCCATACATAAAATAGGATATATCGGCTTACGATGGAAATTTATTGATTTTGCCAGTTGGGTCCTGGAGTCGATCGATCCATGTCTCCAGCATCCCCTTCACAAGACCACGTGGTGGACGGCGGATTTGATTGTGTATTCGATCCATGGACGTTATTGCCTATGCTGTCACAGGGTGTTAGCGAGTGTGAGCATAGGGTGTTGACGGGTGTGTTGAAGGGTGTGGATATAGGGTGTAGACGGGTGTGGATATAGGGTGTTGACGGGTGTGGATATAGGGTGTTGACGGGTGTGTTGACGGGTGTGGATATAGGGTGTTGACGGGTGTGGATATAGGGTGTTGACGGGTGTGGATATAGGGTGTTGGCGGGTGTGGATATAGGGTGTTGACGGGTGTGGATATAGGGTGATGACGGGTGTGTTGACGGGTGTGGATATAGGGTGATGACGGGTGTGTTGACGGGTGTGGATATAGGGTGTTGACGGGTGTGGATATTGGGTGTTGACGGGTATGTATGTTGGGTATCGAATCAAACTTCCAATCTGAAGTCACTATATGGATAAAACATTGCCGATGTGATTTTTAATTTTAATTCACTCACTCCTATCTGTATGAGCCCACAACTCAAGTAGTGTAAGACACGAACAATCATGGCATCATATTCTCATAACTTAGACTACCTCCCAGAATAACATTGAGGAAATGACAATAGTTCCAGCCTGTCTATTGTTTCATTCAAATGACGTCTATACCGGAGGGCGTCATACATGGCTACCATTTAATGGTCACCAGTGCTTCGTGTGCATTCCCAGTGTACTTCTACATAGTTTTTACACTGGAAGTTGACAACTTTAAGCTTTGCAAACCCGTGACTGACAACATGAGTATGTATTTACGTTGTTCTATAAGTGCCCCTTAATCTACTGTAGATAATTCAATGGACAGGGATGATTGCTGTTTTCCTGGGGCAGTTGCTCTACAATATCAATGGCAATATTAAAACATACCACTCATGATATAATGACGTGACTGTGCCAGACTCTTACTACCGTCATCAATTCCCGTATAATTTAACCGCATGTTCATTACAGGAAAATGCAGTGCGCTCCTCAGCGGCGCATGTACACACAATGACACACATCTAGGTTGAACTGTAATTCAAAAATTGACATGACACGATAAGATGCTGATCACTTCAACTGTAATTGTCCCATATTTCTAGATAAGGAGGATATATAAATCAAACGAAGTAACATTTTCCTGATCGCGATTCTCATTTTAATCAACATATGTGTGAAAACACGAGTGAGTGTTCATTCACTTAGAATCCAGACAATATTATAGATTTCCGAGATCCAACATCCTACATAAAGAAGCAAAATATTTTTTTTCTCCAGACTGGGGTTGAACGATTTTCCTTCGAAACACATTCCACTTTTCACAATCGTTCCAGAACAATGACTCTGTTGAAGCTTGGGACACGTTAGTTCATATCCATGACACATCAAAACTCAATTTACACAATTGAAAACAAAATACATGAATAAACATCCATTGGCAGCGTGGTCGCAAGAGACCTGGAAGACAAGATCACGAAGTGGTCGATAAAGATGACAGATTTTACACTTACAACTTTCACAAGAACACAGCGATTTCTTTCACTATCAACCATTGTTTGTGTTTCTCAGTAAGTGTCACCCTTAAACATTTTACTTTTGAAATGGTTCCGTTGTGATAATCCAAACGACCTTCCGCAAATGATCCTAACGGAGCGATAGGAATACAAGATGGCGGTTGAACCAAAGCTGTATACCGCCTGCCATATTCCAAAATGGCGCCGTGTGCCCGGTCTCTTTCCGGGTCAGCAAAATGACCCGTTTCTATGGCAACACTACTTACATTCTGGGGTTCATCAAATATAACGGTAATACTGTCTCCAGAGTTGGGGTTTCTACCCCAGAAAAACCTTCCCGTATTTGATTTGTTATAAGCTAAGCCAATATGATTGTCTTCAAATGTGCTTATAGTGGTATACAGCTTTGCTGGTGGATTATCTCCCTTGTGCTTCTTAACACGACCTTCAAAGTACACATCCACCATATTACGGGTAGTATTACTCAGTGAAGAATGGTAGCCCACGTGATTAAACAGAGTCGGAATTCTAACAAATCGTTTCCTTTGCAGCATAAGATTCAGAAAATGCAACAACAAAAAGTCACATGGTTGCTCGTTGTAGAACGATCGCAAGAGGTTTGCAAGTTTGGGAATATCAAAACTTTTGTAAAGCTTTCCAATGTATCCCATAACAGAAAAGTCCAGCATGGTCCACGTGTGCTTCCGCTGCTGAATGTAGGACCTTATTTTTGGTACGTATCCTTCCGCGGCTGTGACGTCATCCTCCAGCTGCATATAGTACTCGGACAGGTCTTTGGCATAGTTCATCAAAAATGCATAGTCAAGATTTTGTTTCGACCGCCATTTGACTCTATATTCCGCATCCCCGAACGTTGTCCTCAGAGCGTCCAAAGACGGGTAGTAACTGTCTGGTGCTCTCATCATATGAATAAAGCCGTTGAGGACATGCGCGGAGAACTCATCAGTGAGAGCATGTTTCAATTCCGAAATGTAGGTGGCGTTTTGGTCGTTCACAGAAATAACAACTGTAACATTTTGGCGATCTGTTTCAGAGCTGTGGTCGATCAGTGACCTCAGCGTTGACAAAAGATATGTTCCATTTTCTCTGCAAACTGTTGGAATTCCAATGGTTAGAAAGCCTGAAAGAGGAAGCAATTTGACACATGCTACCTATTATAAGTAGTTTATAATGATTCATTTGTTCTTTTGTAATTATATACGTAGGACATATGCAATATCACACTGTAGCACTACATCAAACCTTTGCACTCTATTCTTTAACACACCCGTGGAGATTCGGGTCAGAATTGGTCGTCAGCATTCCATCCTTGCCGTAAATGGAGACTACGCTTGACGTACGAGGCGACTAACGGGTTCGGTTGGTGAGCTCGCTGACTTGGTTGGTGCATGTCATCGTCTCCCAATAGCATAGATCGATGATGATGATGATGTCAATCACAGGGTTGTCTGGTCCAGTTTCGATTATTTACAGACCGCCGTCATATAGCTGGTGTATTGCTGAATGCGGCGTTAAACAACAAACAAACTATTTTGTGACACCTCACAGTGGAGGTGTTGGCCCCTGTCAGTTGTGGCATGTTGTGACGTGTACTCTGTCATCATCTGCCCCATTTACGCACATTGTGCAGCTTCTGTCTGAACAAATCATATAAACTGTTAAGTGACACATCACAACATGGTGGAATGGGTTAACTGGACATCGTACACCAACGGTACGAATCGTTGTGCATAATATCAAACATGGGATGTCCTGGTCCAAACTCGAATATTAAGTAAGCCTGATGTGGGAAGAAAGCTTGAAGTGAAGTTGACCCTAGACGTTTAACACTTTTGTTCTGACCAAACTAGAAACAATCAGGTCGAATCTGGAATTCGAACCAACGACCATTTGTTTCTGGCATGCCTGAAGGACGCAAGTCTGCACAACTAATTGTAAAAACGACTTGGCCTATTGGGCCACCCGTGCACCCTAACTGTTCTGACAGTACATCCTTTCATAAGTGTTACCTTTCTGTAATCTGGGTTTTCCAACAAGAAGAATCGCTTCGCCCCACATGTCAGCTCGTGGCTGCTGAAATTAACATGAACAAGATCAGTTCTGTCAAAGTCTTTGTTTGTTGGTTGTTGTTTACTGCCGCACTTAGGAATATCCCAGCCATACGGCAGCGGTCTGGAAATAATCTATCCTGTTTAAATATCTAACCTTAGTGTTACTACGTGCACATATTGGATATGGGACGCATAAAATACGGGGTGTATCACCATCAATAAACACCTAAACTGAAACAGGATTAACAAAGTCGACTTCAAATGCGACTTAATTGACTTTCCGTACATCTCACACGACACTCTTGTAGGATGAACATGACTTAAAAAACTATCCTTAATAGACTTTAATGAATTAGCTTTAACGTCATCTATGAGAAAGACATCTAAAGTCCGACTACAATGACGAGGATATGGCGATAAACTGCTCGTGACTACATAAGCTACCCATTCAAATGTCTTCAAAAGGTGGAATAAAGGTTGCTCGCTTTGCACTATCTTAATACACTCGTATATATTGATCCTAATAACTTCACCTTCAACAAGCTTTCAAATTTCCGACCAAGCCGCAATATACACAGACACTTACCGTATAGCGCCTCTCTACGTTGTTGTCGATCATTATTGTGCCTAAAAAATATATAAAATGTTCAAGGTACTGTCTGGTCAATGGGTTACAAATAACAATGTCGCTATGTACATAATGATACTGTAATGAACATACAGGTCATATCTTGCTCCACGTTGGGCTAGTCCATGTTATTACAGCTTATCTTAGTTTAAGGATTCGGATATGAGAGCGAAACAGTGAGTTAGGATTGAAGCCTATTTGAACAGTATTTCAGTTTTGATTATGACGGCGTGTCAGCTTGTGGGAGGAACGCCCGAGGGGATGCAGGTCTTTAGACGTTTACCACATTGGTGAAACCAACGACCACTGATATGGCGGTGACAAACAAATCATCTTTAATCAGGGTGAATCTTGAGTTCGAAACCCCAATCATAGATAGGATCATGACACGACAACGGGACGCAACTCTTCACATCGAATTGCAGCGTGTTAGATGATTGGTCGACCCGTCCTCCCGGTTCGAGTCACAGGCTGAATTAGCAGATTAACATTCTCTGTTTTCAATGTAGAGCTAGGCTGCCCGTCGACTTAACCGCGCTGAACTGAATTTTGGAACCGAACGCTCAGCATGAGGTTTCAAGTGATACATTTAACGAGGTTAAATCTACAGGTAACCTTGCTCTACATTGATAACACAGTATGTTTATCTCTAATCTACCAGACTAAGCACGCGAACAATTTGGTGTTAAATTTTTTTGTGAATGAGTCCAGGGTTTGAGTAGGTTGTCGATCTGAATTTACTGACTCATCGACAACAGCCTTTAAACAAAATATGACGCTCTTATTGCTCAAGAAGTTTGACACGAATACCCTACTCAGACACAGTGTATACTGACTCCGAGCCGACCAGTCCTTGTTTTAGCCCCTCAATGCCGAGGGTAACAACAATGTCTTTTAACGTCTTTTGGTATGACGCGGCCGGGAATCGAACCCCGAACTTTCCGCTGTCCGAGCGGACGCTCTACCGCTGGACCACGGAGGCGGTCACCAAGTCGCAGAGCCTGTCAGGGTTCATCGCCTGTTATGATCAGCAGTTGACACCTGGATGTCTGTTTTATCACAAGGCCACACGGTGTCACAGCCGCTCGTTGTTTGCCAGGGGAAGTGAGTGAGAGACGTTTGATACCGCTGTTAGCAATATTCGAGCAATATCTCAGCGGGGGACACCAGTAATAGGCTTTATAGGGCTCCATAACTCTGCCATACAATTTCGGCCATGTATAATACATTCCAGAATTTTCTTTTGTTCAGTTTTCAAATTTGAATAGAGAACTTTGTCAATATATTTTTCAAATAGTAGTCTGGAATGAGTGGAATGACTTTCGGACTGGCCAGTGTCAACTTCCTGGTAATCATTTCATTGGTCGGTCAAAGTTCGCGGAAGGTCGTTCTGACGTGACCTGCAGTGAGAAGATCTCTGTTTAGCGGTAGCAAGCACTCACCGACCAACGGTGGCGAACGGCCCTAGGAAGATCTGATACAATAACCTGTTTCTTTGCTATCTGCGGTAAATAATTCGACTGACCCAATGAAACCTATCGGAAACGCTCCTAATTGCCCGTGGTAACACGTATATTATTTATTAAGGTATTTAAAACGTCGCTTGCACATGAATTTCTCAACACCCAACATAAGCACCCGACCTATCCTTGTTTTAGTCCCTTAATGCCGAGCGCCAGACAGGGAAACAACGAGAACGTCTTTAGGTATGACGCGGTGGGGGTTCTCCGGGCGAACGCTCTACCAGTAGACCATGGAGTGCAGTCAGTTTTCAAGTATTCGCACATTAATCAAGGTATAGATAATAGCGCAGTGGGTGGAACGAATGACAACTGATGTGCGTGTGTGTTTGCACAGCGGCTAGCACACACAGCATACACGGCACACATATGAATCGCTATGAATTACATTAGTGAGTGAGTGAGTTTGGTTTAACACCGCTTTTAACAGTATTCCAGTTATATCACGGCGTGTCAGCTTAATGTGGGAGGAAAGCCCGAAGTGATGCAGGTCTCAGACGTTTACCACTTCGGTGAAACCCACGAGCACGGGTAAGGTGTTGACAAACCTAGAAACATAATTGGGGCGAACCGGGATTCGAACCCACAATCATAGGTTTCTGGCGTGTCCAAGGGACGCAACTCTACACAGCGAATCGCGGCGCTTTAGACGACTACGCCACCCGTGCCCCCAAATTACATTATACCAGGTATGCGCGAAAGGGTGCCCTGCTCAAATATAACATAAAAGCAATGCTTACCAGTTCCGGCAGAGCACGCGGTCGTTCTAAGCGACGAATTCCACATTAACCACGTTAACGTCAACGTCATCATTGTGATCAACAGCCAGTGTCTGACGTTGCATCGTGGCCAACGTCGAACCAGCATGGTGGATACTCGGACCTCTATCACCAAGGTGGATTCTGACGGATATCGTTAACCCAAAAGGCCACAGAAAACACTAGCAGAACCAGAGAGACATCAAGCAGATATTCTGTGGGCCACGATGATCTATCTAGCTCTGCTGGGGTTGCATGATAACGCTTAGGTTTGCTAGATGGTGCTTGGTCAGGAGTTGCTTGAGAATGCTTGGGAAGGATGCTTGGAGTTGCTTGAGGAGGCTGGAGGATGCTTCGGGTTGCTTGATGATGCTTGGGTTGATTGATCCCGCATCAGCGGGGGTCTTCTGAGGATTCTGTGGCTGCTTGATGATGCTTTTGGCTGCTGGAAGATGCTTGGGGCAGGGCTGCTTGACGATGTAAACCCTGTGTCTGTTGGCTCAGCTAAAACAGAAACGTGTAACTTGTAAATGATGTTTCTTTGATTGTTGTTTAACGCCGCACTCAGCAATATTCCAGTTATATGACGGCGGTCGGTAAATAATCGAGTCTGGACCAGACAACCAAATTATTGACATCATGAGCATCGATCCACGCAATTGGGATACGATGACATGCATGCATCAACCAATTCAGCGAGCCTAACAAACCGATCCCGTTAGTCGCCTCTTACGACAAGCACAGTCGCCTTTTACAGTTATCATGGGTTGCTGAAAACCCATTCTATACCTGATCTTCTCGGGTTTGTAAATGATCTAATATTGAACATCCCTAGAGTGCACATTTGATCACATTTTATCAGCATCGCTGCAGTTTACATCGGAAGTGTGAGGGCGATATAACAGTAAAGCCACGCATCGAAGTGTCGAAGCCAGTGTCTATTATATACGCATTTCATTGACGAACCGACGAACATTTTACTGTCGAATACATACAGCTGACTGAAATGTATCTTTTGCGACTAATACAAGCACTTGTATGTTTTGTGGACCAGATAGGCCAATCAATTAAGCTATCGTTTCCATCTTGAGTGATAAAGTGACACCCTCGGTGGTTACCTGGATACGGCGGTATGAACCGGATTGCGTGATTGATTTCTTTCTGAACACAAATGACAAACTTTCTGCTTCGCACGGTGACTGGAATTAATTAAGAATTGTGTCTAACCATGCTAATCTTTTTAATCAGTAACAACTGATGCACCGGCGAACTGTTCATTGTTTGTAAAATGAGACGAAAATAAACAGAATACTGCATAATGCACACTTGTTAGAGTGTAATAAATTAAAACGTACCCAGTCTCTCACACAATTCAACAGAATATCGCAAATCATACATATTCTCCCCTCCCCCCCCCCCCCCCCCTCCTCTCCTCTCACTTGTCAGCTCGAAGACAGTACTCTCTCTCTCTCTCTCTCTCTCTCTCTCTCTCTCTCTCTCTCTCTCTCTCTCTCTCTCTCTCTCTTACCAAGTTGTAATATACGTAAACGCTGATTAGGCGTAAACATATAAACTGCTAAGTAGCATTCTTGTAATATTATAGATATTCAAATAAGTGTACTTGTTCTTAGTGTGTGGCGTGGATACATATAGAAGCAATATATGTATTATGATCAGGGTTCATTTGTACCCCATCAGCAAGTGTGAAGCAGGTCCTAACACATCTGTTTTGTCAAATATGTAAATGAATGGCAAAAGTAGGATTGATTAAGGGATCGACCGATGTATTAATAAAAGAGATTGAGCGGTCAAGGGGTACACAGCTTGCTCTGAAATCGCACTTTATTTTTGAACAGATTGCAGTATGCCACTATAAAGTGGGCACTGGTGAATATATCATCATTAAAAAACTAGCCAACACGGTATGGGGAATAACGGATTGTCAGTGTGTATGAGTGGTATACCAATCCCGGAGTCTCAAGCATTCCCAGCCAGGGCTGAAAACCCGCTACCCCAATTTAACAATGTGTACGCCATGACAAGGACAATTCAACGTTGTGTACGCAATGACAAGGACAATTCAACAATGTGTACGCCATGACAAGAAAAATTCAACAATGTGTACGCAATGACAAGGACAATTCAACAATATGTACGCCATGAAAAGGACAATTCAACAATGTGTACGCAATGACAAGGACAATTCAACAATATGTACGCCACGACAAGGAAAATTCAACAATGTGTACGCAATGACAAGGACAATTCAACAATGTGTACGCCATGACAAGGACAATTCAACAATGTGTACGCAATGACAAGGAAAATTCAACAATGTGTACGCAATGACAAGGACAATTCAACAATGTGTACGCCATGACAAGAAAAATTCAACAATGTGTACGCAATGACAAGGACAATTCAACAATATGTACGCCATGAAAAGGACAATTCAACAATGTGTACGCAATGACAAGGAAAATTCAACAATATGTACGCCACGACAAGGAAAATTCAACAATGTGTACGCAATGACAAGGACAATTCAACAATGTGTACGCCATGACAAGGACAATTCAACAATGTGTACGCAATGACAAGGAAAATTCAACAATGTGTACGCAATGACAAGGACAATTCAACAATGTGTACGCAATGACAAGGACAATTCAACAATGTGTACGCAATGACAAGGAAAATTCAACAATGTGTACGCAATGACAAGGACAATTCAACAATATGTACGCCATGAAAAGGACAATTCAACAATGTGTACGCCATTGCAAGGAAAATTCAACAATGTGTACGCAATGACAAGGAAAATTCAACAATGTGTACGCTATGACAAGGACAATTCAACAATATGTACGCCATGAAAAGGACAATTCAACAATGTGTACGCCATTGCAAGGAAAATTCAACAATGTGTACGCCATGACAAGGAAAATTCAACAATGTGTACGCAATGACATGGACAATTCAACAATATGTACGCCATGAAAAGGAAAATTCAACAATGTGTACGCCATTGCAAGGAAAATTCAACAATGTGTACGCCATGACAAGGAAAATTCAACAATGTGTACGCAATGACAAGGACAATTCAACAATATGTACGCCATGAAAAGGACAATTCAACAATGTGTACGCAATGACAAGGAAAATTCAACAATGTGTACGCAATGACAAGGAAAATTCAACAATGTGTAGGCAATGACAAGGACAATTCAACAATATGTACGCCATGAAAAGGACAATTCAACAATGTGTACGCCATTGCAAGGAAAATTCAACAATGTGTACGCCATGACAAGGAAAATTCAACAATGTGGACGCCATGACAAGGACAATTCAACAATGTGTACGTCACGACAAGGACAATTCAACAATGTGTACGCAATGACAAGGAAAATTCAACAATGTGTACGCAATGACAAGGAAAATTCAACAATGTGTACGCAATGACAAGGACAATTCAACAATATGTACGCCATGAAAAGGAAAATTCAACAATGTGTACGCCATTGCAAGGAAAATTCAACAATGTGTACGCCATGACAAGGACAATTCAACAATGTGTACGCCATGACAAGGACAATTCAACAATGTGTACGCCATGACAAGGACAATTCAACAATGTGTAGGCAATGACAAGGGCAATTCAACAATGTGTACGCCATGACAAGGGCAATTCAACAATGTGTACGCCATGACAAGGACAATTCAACAATGTGTAGGCAATGACAAGGAAAATTCAACAATAACACTCTGACCCGGAAAACCCTCAAAACGCTTCATTATGAGATACAGCAAGTGTCCATTAAAATGACTTGCATACCATCAAATCACTTCATTGTAGATTTATCTTCGGGATTCACTTACTTCCAACGTACTCCTTAAACCATAGAAGCACGTTTCTTATAGCGAGGAGATATCGGAATGGAAGAAAACCTCGATATTACGCATTACAAAAAGTCGCCAGGTAATACATACACTTAGAATCCAGACAATGTCCACACATGCCCGACATGGATTATATACAATTGACTTCAAGATATTATGAGAATATATGCTTGGATCTCTTACCTTTCACCGCGGTAGGTCCGAGTTAAATGACAATACGTGACGTCTAATCTGGACTTGCGACAGACAATGACATTGGCTTTCTACAGCTGTTGCGTTTTCCGCGTGTGTTCAGTGTGTATGTCGGTATTGTGAACGCTGTGTGTAGGAAGCAACTTGATTGTATTGCTGAAGGCTTGTCTATTGTTAACAAATCACAGGACACCGTGAAGGGGCCTTAACCGTTCAGATAACGCCCACGTGATATATGGGGTTTGTTTTGCAGTGGCGATCGTCACACCTGCACTATAACTCACTGGATCATCGATCTGTTTAATATTGAACACCAACTCTTACCTTGTGAAAGCCTAACGTATATTGTTCGTCTATACAACATCGAAAATACAGAATGTCCACTATGTACAAGGTGAGGTAAAATGGGGTTTAACGTCGCGTCCAAGATTATTGCACTTATATAGCGACGTGCATGTACGTGTGTGTGTGGCTGCTTGTACTAGTCTGGACTGATGCCGATTTATAGTGCTAGCTCACTGAGATACCATGCCGCAGTTTAACATGAATACTCGACTCAGACACAGTATACTGACTCCGAGCCGGCCAGTCCCTGTTTTATCCCCTTAATGCCGAGCGCCAGACAGGGTAACAACAAGTACCATCTTTTAACGTCTTTTGGTATGACGCGGTCGGGGATCGAACCCCGGACCTTCCGCTCTCCGGGCGGAGGCTCTACCACAAGACCACGGAGGCGGTCCCAATACGTAGAAGGTTATAATAGCAATACTACAGTAATATCCTAATAGGGCAAAAACTTACACTCATTCTATTCATGTGTTCATTGAACAGAGATGGCTACACAAGAAATGGATTTTGGCACATTCCACTCATGTGTTAATCAAACATGGATCTGAGGCGTGACGAGCCAATCCATCGCGAGGCAATGTATCCAAAGCCCCCAAACGGATTGAGTAATTGGCCATGAGCTTCATAACCCAAGCGTGATGGAGATGGCGTGACAGTATGGCATTCTGTAGTTTACAACAGTGATCAGCGAACGTATACTTGTCGTTTGTTGTGTAACGCTGCACTCAGTAATATGCCAGTTGTATGTCGGACGCCTGTAAATACTCGAGTCTGGAGGCCAGTTGTTGATATTACGAGTAACGTCCTACGTCGTCGGGGGTGTAGACATACGAGCAACGTCCCATGTCGACGGGGGTGAAGACATACATGTCCCGGAGTCTAACCACCCGAACTATTTAGTTACCTCTTACGACCAGCATAGGTTTGCGGGAACCTATTCTAACTCTGAACACACCCACCCACTAATTCACCCTCACCCCACACCCCACACCCCACACCCCACACCCCACACCCCATCCTCCACCGTCCATATAGATATTTATATAGTGAATGGTGAAATATGTTTTTTGCACTTACGCAACAACGTGCATGCACATGTGTGTTGGGGGTGGAGGGGGTGCTTCCCGGCACTAGTCCGGACTGATGCCTATTTATAGGCAAGCACTCTGAGAAGCCATGCCGCAGTTTAACATGAATATCCCACTCAGACAAGGTATAGTGAATCCGAGCCAACCAGTCCTTGTTTTAGCCCCTTAATGCCGAGAGCCAGACAGGGTAACAACAAGTACCATCCTTTAACGTCTTTTGGTATGACGCCACGGAGGCGATCCATATTCCAATACTAAAATCTGTAATTGTCCAAAAGCATGGAGCATGGGTCCTTTAAAAGTGTATCCATTTCATATTCGACCGCCTCCGTGGTGAAGTGGTAGGGCATCCACCTGCAGAGTGGAAGGATTCGATCCCCGGCCGCGTCATACAAAAAGACGTTAAAAAATGGTAATTGTTGTTACCCTGTCTGGCGCTCGGCATTAAGGGGCTAAAACAAGGACTGGTCGGCTCGGAGTCAGTATTCATGTCTGAGTTGGGTATTCATAATAAAGTGCGGCATTTCTCAGTGGGCTAGCACTCTAAATCGGCATCAGTCCGGACTCGTACAAGCAGCCGCCCACATATATAAGTGCAATCATCTTGGACGCGACGTTTAACCCCATTTAACCTCACCCCACCCATGTTATATTCGAGTTCCTGGTAAGACACACACACCCGCGCTTATTTGTATTGATTCGCTTAAAATATACTCTTGAAAGATGGTAAGGGATACTCGGAAACAACTTAAAAATTAAAAATTTGGGAGATATTAGTTTCTTGTGATAGTTGAATGATAACAATGAACGCAGAAGGAACATATTACAACCGAGGGTGAAGAATGATAATAGATGATTTGACCGCCAACATTCTTGAAGCACGAAGATATAAAATTTCAAAGTTTGCCAAACAGTCACTCGCCAAGGCATGCTGTGTATAAGTCTCCCAATGACGATTTGAGGGTGTCTGTTCCAATCCTCTTGCAGCGTCTGACCAAGTTCAGTCAACGTGGTCAGCGGCCTATGACGTTGAGGCAGACGTCTCCTTATCATGTCCCAGATGTGTTCAATGGTAGAAAGGTCTTGGTTTACTGTCTGCTAATCACAGACCACAAAACACTTAACGTATTGGCCACTGCACGCGGACTTCTCCACCTTTCCAGCATGTCAATAGCCCGTAGACGCTCCGCGCGTTGCAGACGCCGCATCGCCAGGTCATACACAAACAATGAAGGAGACCACAACTGCATGATAAACAGAATTAATAAGATTGACAGGAATAATGGTCCACAGACATTCATCGACCCAAAGTGGCAATGTGTTTTTACGTTCTCGTATAGGATGTTTGTCGTCAACACTCACCTTTGTTCTGAAACTTGGTATCAACATTAATTTTTCATATACTTTCTTGAAGAATATATACAAACATGTGCAACCTCCAAAGCATGACGAATCGATCAATTATCTCACCACGAGAGGCATAGGTTCTTTGGAATCAATTCAATCTTCAGCAACCCATGCTTGCCGTAAAAGGCGGTGATAATTGTCGTAAGTGAGTGAGTGAGTTGGGTTTAACGCCACTTTTAACAGTATTCCAGCTATATCACGGTGTGTCAGATGATTGTGAGAGGAAAGCCCGAAGTGATGCAGGTCTCAGACGTTAACCACTTCGGAAGGACCGGATGAGGGCAACACATACCCCTGTCTTGGTCCCGAAAGGACCGGATGAGGACAACACGTGGCCTTTACTGGGTTCCGGAAGGACCGGATGAGGACAACGCGTGGCCCTGACTGGGTCCCGGAAGGAACGGATTAGCACAACACCTGCCCCTGACTGGGTCCCGGAAGGACCGGATGAGGACAACACATACCCCTGACTTGGTCCCGAAAGGACCGGATGAGGACAACACGTCGCCTTTACTGGGTTCCGGAAGGACCGGATGAGGACAAGACAAGTCTCCCAAGTCCTGTGCTTGTAAGCGGCGCGATGATGAGACCAGTCATTCCCAGAACTGGTACACTATCGTATGAAAGTGATTGATCGCTGCCTGACTTTGTAGACACGAATATGTCTTTTCCATCATCTTTTCCCCTTCAACGATTGCTTTTGTTTGTCTGTCAGGGATGAAATCGCGAATGCTTTCGTTATCGACCAGATCTTCGTCTGCTGTAGTCGCCATATTTGAAGCCATACCAGCTGAGAACAGTAATCTGATTGGATATTGACGTTTTCATTACGAGGGGCACAACCCTTAACATCCTACATGAGTGTAATTTGTTTTGAAACCATACCTCAAAATAGTAGTTAAATGCTGTTTACACGTTTACATATTTACTAATCTCTGAAAGGGAGTTGTCCACTCTATACGTTTAGTATCAGAGATAGACAATGGGATATATAAGATTTTATACCTTGGCGGGTGCTACCGGTATGGCGAGATATCCTTACCCTTTTCGCGAACACCTGGTGTCATCACTGATTTTAAGTGATCCATTTCTATAATCCCCCCCCCCCCCCCCCCCCCCTCTATTTTTCCTTTTACTCCCAATGGAATCTGTTTCGTCAAACAATCTAACAATTTTCTAAAATTGACGGTTGAAACTGGTCACATTAAACAAATAAACTAATATTATACGTCACCCTGTTATATTCGGCCTTATCGTAACTCAGAATGATGGTCCACGTGATCTTGATAAAATACTGTGCAACCTGCCTTGGATGGGAATAGATTTCTCAGCAGGGTAAAAAATCTCTTTACCCCGGCACGAGCTGCACGTGCATTTCTGAGAGGCAGAATAAATCCCTTATACCCCGCTTCCAAGCAAAAAGCCGCACGCTTTTCCCCCACCGAGTCAATTAAAGTCACGTGACATAGGACAAGCTGACCTCAGCTCAATCGAACAGCTGTTTTCCATCAATTCAGCAACCCATGCTTGCCGTAAAAGGCGACTAACGGGATCGGGATGATTGATGCATGTCATCGTGACGTTTCGATGTACGAAATTAGAATACGATGTCATGCATCGACCAAGTCAGCGATCCTGACCGCCCGGTCCCGTTAGACGCCTCTCACGACAAGCATGGGTTGCTGAACACCTATTCCAAACCGGATCTTCACGGATTTGCATAATGTCAATTGCAACATAAAACGAGTGTGAGCTCCGCGATTCAACAGTCTCACTCCCACGAGGGTAGTCAGTTACTCCGCTGTATGCAGTCGTAGGTCTGAAACCCACGCCTAAATATAAGTAGTATATCAAACGAAAAAGTCATACTTTATTGAACATATTTTGAGTGATGTTGATGCGATGATCTGTTTATGAAGAATTCATGTAAAAGTTCTTTATACCTGTTCAACCCTAACTGCAGTAAATATGGAAATAGCATTTGAAGAGCGAAAGTCATGCACTCGAAGTAAAAAGTTGATTTGTGTATCTTCACGTTATTAGGTCGGACTTGCTAAGAAATAGTTTGGGGGTATGCTTTACTGTCAAGCATACTACTGCTTCAAAATATCCAACATTGTATGCCTAAAACTCGGTTAATGGCCTATTCTAACAACCCACCAACATCTACGACTTGCTCTTGTCTGCTCCAACATGACTTCGCCGACATGCCGCATCCGTCAATGAAGGATCCCCTGCGGTAACTCACATAACCCGGCTTGCATTTTCACGAGACACCACATACGTTGGTTGGTTGGTTGTTTTACGCCGTACTCAGCAATATACCAGCTATATGACGGCGGTC